CCAAGGGCCAATCCTCCCATTGATGCCCAACAAGGCCATCCTCTGCTACATATGAGGCTGGAGCCATGGGTCCCTCCATGTGTACTCTTTGGTTGATAGTTTAGTCCCTGGGAGCTCTGGGGGTGGAGGGGTCTGGTTGGTTTATATTATTGTTTTTCCTTCAGTCTTTTCTCTAACTCCTCCTTGGAGACTCTGTGCTCAGTCCAATGGTTGGCTAAGAGCATCCGCCTCTGTATTTGTCACTTTGTTATTTGACTTAACCTGTTCTGGTGCCTATTTTGACAGTTGTGCAGTCTGATTGAAATTAACTCCCCAGGTATTCCTGACTGGTGAGTGCATAGATAAGCAGACACTCTTATCCAGCTATACTGTGCTGAGTGTCTAGCTGATCTAACCTTTAGGAAGAGAATAACCATATCGCAGCAGAAGTCACTCTTCTGAAATCTGGAATGGTCTTTACAGTTGCTAAGTACAGAAACTGTAAAGAGAGACTTGGTAGTGACCCCAGCTCAGCCACCTTCTCAGCTGCAACTTTCTTTCCTCTACTGAGAGAGTTAATGTAGATAAGTGACTAGCCACACTGCTACCATCAGAGCACATTGGTCTTTACTAGAAGCCCAGGTCAGGAATCCCAATGCATTTGAGGAAGCATTCATTTCTAACTGGGTTATTTAAGGGTCATTCACTGACTCTGCCTGCTAGACCATTCAACTCCTATCTACCATCACCACTTGCCATGTGTTTATTACCAAACAAAATTCACTGTCTGTAGTAGTATAATTAAGAATTAAATTCAGTAAAATTGTGTCAGAAATTAATCCCATATAATGCTTTAATTGGAATGTGTTTTTTTTTAATACATTCACTTTTCAGAGTAATAGCATACCCATCTGTCCATCATCATTACACCTCCCACTTGTTGAATAAGCATATGGCAATTGTTTTGTATTAAGTATGTTACATAAGCATAGACATCATGTCAATATCTGTGCTTTAAGTGTATACTTCTCCGGATACATACTAAAAGGATATATAGGTTTCAATGTAGTAGGTGCACCTTTTCATAGGATTCTGACAGTTACCCTGGGTCACACAGTCTGATGTTAGGACTTTTAGGATAATCATGGAGTCCAAATTTCATGAAATTAGGAATATTGGCTCTCATGAATGAGAAGTGAGAAAAATGTTTGCTTTGTCATCTAAATAACTAATTACATGGAAACACAGACATTCAGCCTGATTCTGATTCTACAAACAGTGGTGCAGGGGAAACAGTGACTTTTCTGCATTTCTTTCAAACAAGTTTATCCTCCTAAATCAACATCTAGGCTATTTCTCCCAAGGTCTAAATGTCCTTCCTTATCCAGTATCCTTTCCCTTGAATTTATTATCTCTCTGTGTATATGTGGGTGGGCAAACCACGTGTGCATTCAACAAGGATGTACAACGCCAAGACTGGCATACATGTGGTATGTTTCTCTCTTTACATCATGCTTAGACTACACGGATAGCTAGGCTAAATCAGTTTCCTTAGGGAACATCAGGAGGAACAACTGGCAGTTCTCAATCTTTTCTATTGGAGTGAAGTTATTTTGATTTCAGAAACTTAAATTGCTTTGTTGTGGTGAACAGGAAAATAATGCAATTTTTCTTCAGATACAAAGAGAGAGAAGGAATGGCAGTGCAGGACACTGAACACTTAGAATATTTAGTGCTTCGCTTTTAAAACTTGGACGGAGGACAGAGCGAGTGAGGCATTACAGGATCAGAAAGTAAAATCTATGTGATGGTTACATTGCTCTGGGTGGTACTTTTTCTACTAATAAATATGTACTGCTAGAATTGGAAATTCAGGAGGAAGCTGGTCCCTTGTTCCAGATGAAATATCCTCCTGTGTAGTCTTATAAGTGGAAAGAGAATAGAATATATTCTTACTAATAGTGCCTGTGAGGATCACACTCACTTGGCCATTCTCGACAATGCATAAAGTCTCCATATTGCCAAATACCGCTTCAGATTCAGTAAATATTTTATGAGAGAATTCATAAATACAGTAGATTCTCTCCTCCTCATTCTATCCCACTTTTATTTCTGCAAACATTAGCATAAAATATGGAATTCAGTGTTTATCAAGGTTATAGGAACAAGAACAAAAACATATAAGCAACATGGTTAGTTTAGAGCTAGTGTGAATTGACAGAACATTGTCTGTGGCCAACAGCAAGAAATTGTCCTGCCTGGAAGATGTTTCAGTAGAAATGGAGGTTCCATATTTGAAGAATGTTACTTAACATTATTCCTTCAGATCTAAGCCCCTTCTGCCTTAAATTACCCTTAAAATCATAAGCAAACAAAGTTCCTGAGGGCGACTAAGAGAAATGAAAGCAAGACTGTGGACATATCTAGTATTATCTCAATAGGCAGCTTGACAAGCCTGTTTCCAGTATTGAAGCAAACTAGGAAAATCCTTTAAAGCAATGGTTCTCAGTCTGGGGGGTGAGGGGTGGTCAGATGACCTTCTTTCAGGGATCACTGAAAAACACAGATATACATCACAATTTATAATAGCAAAATGACAATTATGAAGTAGGAATGAAAACAAGATCACACTCATCTGAGCACTGACATGACGTGAAAGTATCAACACCTACAATGATGACACACCTCTGCACACTGCTGCTGGAGGTTGGAATGTGCAGGGGTAGTTTAGAAGACTCTGTGATACACGGAGAACCAGGTAGTCCTGAAAACTAGATAGCGTGGGGTAGAGAAGTCCCTGAGACCTAGCTTGGTCCCTAGTTTCTCATTCAGACAATTTGTAGATAATTGTGCTAGTCTCTGATGTGGTAAAAACAAAAGAATGGTAGAGAGAATAGGAACTCACTTACTGCCACCATACCATGAAGAGGACAGGATATAAAAACTCAAATTTCGATGTTTCTTTTATTTTATTAGCACACAAAAAAGCATCATTATAAACAATAGCAACAATCACAGTCAAACAATTATGAGAGGCTCCAGACATACATATATATATTAAAAAGCAATTGTGTACGTGAGACTAGCATCAAGCAAGACTGCCAAGATATATGGCACACCTGCAAAATGACAAAGAGTGGTTTAATTAATAAGTTTCGATCATACTTAAAAGCCTACTTTCCAGACTTGTTTTCAGCATCCATGAGGCTTTATGCTCCAGCTAAATTAGACTCTTCAACTTAATATCCTTCAATTACCCTCTTTCTTGTCTCTACACTTTGTTTTTATTTTCTCTTTCTAGTAGGTCCTTGCTTTTCACAGTCCTATTGTATGTCAAAATATGAGCCCTACTCTGGTCCTCTTAATCAGAAATGACTGGATCTGTATTTTCACAGTGTTGATGAATGTTTAGCCCACTCTGCAGCTTAGTTATTGTCTACGTCTTAGTTTATAATGCATCCTGACTTCCTAACTCTCTCAAGGGCTCAGTTTCCTAACATGAACTGTCCCTCACCCAGTGCACAGGATAGAAGCATGTGTGTTTGTATCTAATTTACAGAGTGGATATGAAATCAGTCAGCACTAATGATTGATGGCCAGAATAGAAGACAGCAAGCATTTCAAAATGATACTATGAAGTCTCTGTGTATTGTTGCACCAATATGTAATGTGAACAAAACTCGCCCACATAGAGGCAAATGCATAACACATACTTTATAGATGCCAATTTTCAATTGTTTTTTTTTTTTTTTACAATTTCAATCTGTAAATGATACACTGGAGATGGTATACAAGGTGATTATGCCACTTAAGATGCAAATACAATCCCTTTCCCCTAATGGACATACAGTTTCCTCCCAAGACCTAAAAATGAAATGATAAAAATGTGAGGCACATTTACAATTTCAACTCTTTGCCCTCCTTCCATGTTAATATCTGCGAGTTCATGAGACTATCGGATATTTTGGACAGGGTAGTCTGCTCTGACTGTTGGGTTCTTGGGCGGTACCAGTGAGCTCTTGACTGAAGCCCTCATTCTTTGCTATGAAAAAAATTTATTCTCAGTAGAAAATTGAAGCTTAAATGAATACATTTATAGAAAAAAATAGGGCTCTCGGACAAATTTTAAGAGTTGGCTTAATGTTACAGATCTTTCACAAGCCATAGACTTCATTTGCTCCTGCTCAGTGAAGTGACGTCTTCCTTGTACCACTGCTGTATCCCACCAATTTCTATCGATGACACACACAGTGTTGAAGTCAACACGGTTGCTCTTTCTTATTAGACTTTTTTAATTTCCGTTCTGAAATGCAAAGTAGCTACATAGATTTAAGTTTCATATCTATTGTTACACCTAAGCCTCTTTAAGTAACTCAGATATAGTGCATATGTTGAATATGCATTATTTGTAGTATGTATATATCAACTGCAATACTTAGCTTCTTAGATAAGTAATTACAAAAAAAAACCAAAATTGTCATAGTGAAAATAAGTTTCAATCTGGTAAATGTTCTGATAGGTATTGGTTTTTGTGTTCTATTGTTTGGTCTATAGCACAGCACACATGGTTTGCTAAACTTGATGAATAATAATAAATTTTATCAATTTTAAAGGTAGCATTAAAATTGTACCTATAAGCCTCTTGATACCCTAAAATGTGTTTCATGAACTTTCTTCTTCAGACACATTTCACTTGGCTTTCCCCATTCTATGTCCAAATACAGATCTTGCCATCTTTCTTATAACCTGTATTAAACTGTTTCATTCAACTTAAAGCCTTTTAGAGCCAGAAAATCTCATTTTAGTTGACAAAAATGTCAATACGTATGGTCAGAAAATTTTAATAGTGCCTTACAGTCAATAGCCCACTTGATAGAAGGAACAGTGGAACATGTACCTGCAAGTATGTCCCAGGCATAATAGTCTTCTTTCCATGTCATTGTATGTAGTGTGTCTAGAGAGGGAACAGTAGAAAGATCTGAGAGCTATATTATTCTACATCTTCATTACTCTTATTCTAGGAAAAGGCGGAATCTCCGCAAACCGAAGACGAGGTTCCTTCTCGTGAACAGGTTCACCCTGCTGTTCCTGCTCCTCGTGGTGAGTGAAGACTGTTCTGTTTCCTGTTAATGGCCATGCAGAGTAGGGAAGAGTGTCTGAGTGTGGATGAACTGGCAACTGTAAGGAAACCAAAACTGCGCTTCTCCAAACTGTCGTTCTTCCTCACATTCTGTGAAGGATGTGATAAATGTCCTTTGGACATTTGCTCATTTTGATTATTGTCATAATTTATCTAGACAATTGAGTTGCATTTGTTTGGGAAAGTTCATAATAATTTGTGTCACTTTCTAGTACAGACAGCTGAGAATTTGCCTGGATTCATTTTTTAATATGTTTTTGAAATGTGGATTTAGATTGTGGCTTCTGGGCTCTTCCATATTTTAAAACATTGGAACACTTGTTGTCTATTTGTATCAAAATTATGAACACATCACCTTCCACAGTATGTAAATGAGAGATGAGCACATGAGAATGGTCTGAATCCCTGTCCCTATTACCCATGGATCTAATGATCCTGAAGTAAGCACTAGAGGAATCCTTACAACACTCTAGAACAGGCTGTAACTGTCATGGTACGTCTAGAAAACTCTGGTAAACCAAAAGCAGACTGATTGACTCACATCAAAGTAGGATTCACCCACGCGCAAAGTCATGTCCTCCGAGGTTATTCTCTTCTGTCCTTCATGTACACTGTGAGTTAGACCTTCTAGAATGTAAGCCCCACGAGGGCAGGAAGCATGCTACCAAATGTACTGCTGAGCTTTCAGAGTCTACACCAGGACCTGGCGACGCCTCATCTGCTGACTGCTGCAGTGGCAGTTTGGCCGTCATATGTGTGATGACACTTTCTCAAATCTTCCAGAATGACACCACATATATGGCTGCTAAACTGTTACATGAAACAACAAGTAAGACATAAGTAGGTGGGTTAGTCACTTTTTAAAGACATGTGACATGTCCTTGTCTCATTGTCACCTTTATATAAGCATGGCATTATGTATTTGTTGCATGATTCATAGCATAAGCCCAATAATAATAAATTAGACAAATTGCTTCATGTGTTCCATATTGCTTGATTGGCTCATGATATCACTGCTGGCGTTAGTTTTTCTTATTACTGTTGAAAATAATGCTATCTCATTAGCAATCTTATTTGCATGAAATTATCAGAAAAGTTTAATTAACAATGTAAAATGTTTATATATAAATGCTATTTTAAGCAGTATTAATTTCATTAAGAGAAAAATATTGTGTGTTTCTGTAAATATAAAACATTTACATATTTCTATCTGCCTATCTGTCATCCATCCATCCATCCATCCATCCATCCATCCATCCATCTGTAAATAGAATGCTCCAAGGTGCATGTTATTTAGGAAGAAACACATTGGGAGGTTCAGTGCTCAAGCAAGGACCAGGCTGGGAGCAGCCCAGAATGCTGTGGTTCTGATTTTTCATTCTTTCAGTATTGAGACAATCTCTACTGAACCAAGTTCCAAACCAAGTTCACTGGAGTTTGTTTCAGTATTGCAAGAATGGTAAGTACGAAGCGGCATACCCATACCTACTCTCGCTCATGCTATCCCCACTCCTACTGATGTTACAATGTGTCAAACCTAATAATAAAGATGTTGCTGAAAACAAGTGTAGAGTTTTTCTATTTAGCATCCTTACACATAGTGTTTTCCCCAGGCTCCCATGAATTTCCAACTGTTACAAGACCATTTCTTAGTGAGTTGCCAAACATACAGGGACAGAATTCAGAATGTGGTTCTGGAAAGATCAATACCTAAGGAAAAATAATTCCTAATGTCTAAAACTTTTAGTAAAAAATAGTGTATATATATATATATATATATATATATATATATATATATATATATGACATTCCCACAAATGGATTCCAAATAGATAAACTTTGAATATCTGTCCCACAAGGGCACTGTAATACTCCCTTTTTGAGTGGTTCAGTCATAATAGTTTAGACTTTTTAAATATAGTCACATCATCCATACAAATGTAAGCAAACTAGATATTAAAATACAAACACAAATAAGCCATCTCTTTAAAAGCAGAACAGAACAACATAAGCCGAACAAAACCACATTCTAACTTCTAATGGTATGTCTGAGACTGTCCTGAGGGGAGGTGATTGTTCGTTAGCCCTCTACTTTCCACAGTCTTTCTTCTCTTTTCTACATATCTCCAGAAACTCAAGATCCCATTCAAATTTTTATTTGTATCTGTAACTGTCACCAAATATTTTTGCCTCCTATCCTCTTGCAACTCTGAATTTTATACTATACAGTTTCACATTGATGACATGTTATTACAGGGGCATAGTGGCAGACACAGGATCAGTGACATTTGAACATGAAGCCCAAAAAATAAATAAATAAGCTTCATTCATAATATGGCTAGCACTACAAAAAAGCACATCAAGCTCAGCCACTGAGAAAACAGAACTCTTGATTACTAGCTAGAAGAGACAGTACAGTCGTGATCACCACACTCATACACACATGTACAAACACACAACTTATAGGAAGCAAAGACCACCAAACAAAGATGGTGACTGCATAGAAAGACAATGTCAGCTTGTTCTGAAACCTAATGGACCAATATAAATTTTGAAAAATTGCATTTCCTTTATTCACTGAAAATGAATTACTATGAGTTAGTCAAGTGCCAACGAAACCACTTTGAAGAACTTAAAGTCAATTTTCTTTGGTCTGGAGGATAAACAAGGCAAATTTTGGCAGAGTACAGAATCCAAACCTGAGCAAAACTTAGCGGAAGATGTCCACTAAAGAAGCATATTTTTCTGTTCTATTTTCTTAATATGTGATCCATGATTCTTAAGATTTACAAAAGATGCAAGTGTTGGTTTAATAATGGAGATGTTTTGAAAATCAAGCTATTTGTTTTGTTTATGTGTAAACTTTCGAAAGAAAATAAATTAACACAATAGGAGACTATCAAGATGTGTGAGTGTGTATGGTTGTTCTACATTCTCAATAGCAACTGTACATTGATACAAATATAACTGGATAGAATAGGATGTTAAATGTAATGCATTTTTAGCATAGAATATTTTATATGGAGTTCTATGTAAGTGTTGCTTACAGAAAAAAAGAAATGTTTCCATATTTTTACAGTTATCACATTTATCTATGTATTAATTCATTACCTACTCTGTAAGTAACTACCTTTTTACCTTTTATACAGAGCCCCACTCCAGCTCTCCAGGCTCCTACCAATCTCACTGACTCCGGCCTTGATCAGGAGCCTTTCCTGTACCTTGTTGGCCGCAAGAAGCTGATGGATGCCCAGTACAGATGCTATGACCGAATTCATCAGTTGCCCCCTTATGAAGGAGAAGGTAAGAGAAACCATTTGAACCTATGTGTGAAGCATCATTAAAGATTGTTTCTTCCCAAGTTATACATAGTGGTGGGTCACTGAAATGGAACAGATCCACAGTCTCACGTTATGGTGTGCCTGTGTATCTTGTGCAGCACATATGATGATCCCCCCCATATCAAACATCATTTTGACTTATTTGCCCTTACAATAAAATTACACCAATAACTCAGCATTCACGCCTAATAAGCAGGAACAGTACAGGACTGAGCGACAGCAAAGAAATGCAAAGTGATGGGCAGAGAATCTGCCTGAGGCGGAACCTGTGCAAACCCTGTCTTTTTTGGATTAATTAGGTAAATCTTTCCTTCAATGCCAACTCATTGACAACTTCTGTTAATTCTTCTCTTATTACTCCCATCCCCAATCCATAGGGAATTGCTTCAGTAAGCATGGTTAATCTGTGCTCTTCTCTAGAGAAATCTTTGTAACTGCCCAAATATTTTCAGGCCTAAAGATAGTTTATTGGCTGTAGAAGTCCCAGAGAAGAAAAATAAAAGGATGAAAGTGTGACAGGCAAGCATTGGCACAGCCTTTTAACTTATCTTCCATGTCTCTGAACCATCTTTGAAGGTTCAATAAGGCTTTGTATAGCCTTGAACATTCTAAGACAAAGCTACTTATAAGGGTGGAAAATGATGATATGCACAGTTTACTTTAAGTAATAATTAAACAAAAAGGTTTATCAGATGCAACACAATGATATGCTTTATTAAATTAGGACATATCCTCATCCCTATGTAAACATATTTCAGATTTTTGAGGAATTAATTTGTGTTATCAGTTTTGATAAATAATGCCATAGCTGAAGTTTTCTTCACTGTTATGAAGGTAAAGTTATGAAAATGTGCCTCACGTTGCATGAACTATAAGTATTACAATGTAAATTCAACTCCTTGGTTGAATATTTTGGAAAGTTTAAAATTTTCAATAAGTAGAAACATATCAATATACCTTAGATCCTGTTTTATTTTTTTGTGTGAGCTACATTTTAGATTTCCTCTACAATTAACTAATTGGACAGAAATGCATTGATTGAGGCTGCTTGCTTTATGAGAACCCCAACTTCAGAGACTCTTGCAAAAATAAAAATAAAACAAACACAAAAAACCAAGAACCCTGACTGCCATCCAATAAGATTTTCCCTGCAGATATACCAAAATCATTTTGAAAGTTTATTCCAAAAGAATTGATGAGAATGGCACATTTGAAATGGGCTTAGTCTTAACTACAGTGATGGGATCCGGCCTCTCTGATCTCCTCAGAACACATTCTCTTTTACTTAAGCTGTGAGCTTCAATGCTGGTTTCTTCCTGAATTCCCAGGTCCATTCTGCAACCGCACCTGGGATGGATGGATGTGCTGGGACGACACTCCTGCTGGAGAAATGGCCTATCAGAACTGCCCTGACTACTTTCCGGACTTTGACATAACAGGTAAGGTCTTTAGTTTCGCTTTATGTTTTTGTTATGAATAAAACTGTGTTAAATGGATAAGTGAACTCAAATCCACTTCAGCTATTGAAGTAATATAGTGATGTGTCACATGGAACATCACCTTTCACATTGCAAAGCATTTAAATACTTATTATTTCGTTTTATACTTAAAATATTTAATCTTGCAAGTGAATCCGACTCAATACACAATGTCGAGATCTCTCCATGTAAAATTAAATATTTCTTAATCTTCATGCAAACTTGTACAAGTTAGAATACATTCATTAACCTTTAAGAGAGGGCACTTTGCTTTTGCAGGGCTTGATCCTTTCACACATGTATGTTAGATGCCAACCTGGAATGCTCAAGCAGAAGGCACTCTAGGATGACCAAGTTCTGGGTGACACGAGTTTTTAAAGGCTTATGTCACTTATTTTAGGGTCTTTATGTATACAAGTGTGGAGGTCTAGGATTGAGGCAGTTCCACAATTAATACTCAGAAATGGTGCAAAGGCATGTAGGCAGATTGTCACAGCCTCTAGCCACTAGACAGAGAGATGTGAGCAGGAAATGGGATTGAGTAATTTGAATTAATAAAAGGTGGGGAAAATCTAGTATAGACATGATCAGAGCTTGGCAAGCTCAAATAAATATACTGAACATGTGGGCCTTAGGAAGTGGAGCACCAGAGGCACCTGGTAAAGCAGAGAGCGGAGGGCTCTTGGGGGTAGCTACTCAATACAGGGTCTGCCTGATCAGAGCCAGAAAAATCATACTCAGACAACCTAGAAGAAAAAAAGATCTGTCCCAATAAGTTAAATATAGGAGATACTGAAAAGACTAAATAAGCCTTAATTAGAAATGATGACCAGATGATGAAACTAAAAGGCATCAGCTAGAGATACAATATGTAAATCTCTAGAAAGAGATAAAACTGTGTTCCAAGGGTCATACGATATGACCTAGCCATAGGTGTTTAAGTGTGTCTGGAATTCCCATAAGATCAAGGTATGAGCCCTTCACTGAGACAAGGCTTGGGAGACACTTTTCCTCGAAGGAATGTCTCACTTATGATTGAAGCCAAAATCCTAACCCAGAACAATAGAGATAATCAAAGTATAATTACAAGGGATGCTTTTTAAACCAGTGCAAAATAAATGTCAGCATTGGCCAAACACTTCTAGGAATCTCCTTCTGAAGGATGGCATAGGAAGAACAGGTTTCGTTTGGTGCCCTAACTCTGAGCTACATTCCTGTAAACTGGAACCAAACTGTTTCATAATGAGAATCCTTCAGGCCTTTATTACCTCTTCGTAACACATGATGCTTTATTTATCTTGATCTGCCATTGCATTAAAGGTGATTTGACTGGCACAAAAATCTGTCCTACAATTGCAATCTACTGGGCCAATTCGAAAGTAGCAATGGGCTCTTGCCAAAGTAGCTATAAATATTGATAAAAAGGCATGGTCTTGATAAGCAAAGTAAAGATTTCCAGTCATAGATCCATATTTTTAGTCTATTTTTTAGATGGAGGTATCTTAGCCAGAGACAAATTCACCTCTAGTGAAAAGAACATCTTCAATATTTCTTTCTTCAATACAGTTCAATTCTTTATGATTTTATTGACATTCGGTTACATCTAAATAACACAAAAAATACTCCAAATGTCAGAGGTTTCATTTTTGAAGAAATGCTTGATGAAGGATAGATATGGTGGGCTGACTGGGAAGTCAACAAATCTGTGAAAGGAGTTGGTTCCCCAGTAGCCACATAAAATTCTGGGCACAGAGGCACATTTAAATCCCAATTCTGGGAAGGTGGAGGCAGAAGGTTCCATCCAAGTTAGTTAAGTTGGTGAACTCCAGGTTCTTTGGGAATGCTTTCTCAAAACATAAGGTAGAAAACAATTGGGGAAATCCCAAAACACATCTACCCTGGCCTCTACACATTGCACATATACAGGAACATGTAAACATACATATACTACACAAAAGCAAATAGTGAAAGAGTTTAAGTCAGTATTGGAGTCCTGAAGAGGATGTACTGCCCAGGAGTCATCTACAGTGTAAACAGGAATGCTTCCCGAGGAGGTGTGTGAGGCTTGACACTTGAATTGACTCTTTTAGCATTAAATTTCTAAGAGGCAAGATGGTCCATGTTATCTCTACATTCACATTCTACAATGTGGTTCACTTTCAGGCACAGCCTGTAAGCTTTAAGCCATCACGTTTCTTGTTGGGATTTGATATACTAATACATTACCATTTTGTTCCATTAACAGAAAAGGTTTCAAAATACTGTGATGAAAATGGAGAATGGTTTAGACACCCTGACAGCAACCGAACCTGGTCCAACTACACTCTGTGCAACGCTTTCACTTCGGAGAAACTGAGCGTAAGTTCTATTTCAAGTCTCTGTATGGGATGAGAGTATCATTATTTGTACATGGAAATAGATGTAAAACTATAAAATATCTGCTGCCCCAAATCACAAAAACCGACAAAGCAACTAAAAAAAACAACAACATATTTTTATGTACGGAAATAGAGTTTCTGAGGGGCATTAGAGAAAATAACATTTCCTTGCTTGTTGATGCTCAGCATCAATACTTCTGTTTGAATGTGGAATCAAGCCAGATATGACTACTCTCCGTAGAGCAGATGATGGGATTTCCTTAGTGCCAGAAACTAGGCAGCATTTTAAAGAACTCATTAATATCTTTCTCCCCCTGGGAGAGTTCCAGAACCTCCAATTAACAGAGAGCAACCAGCTAAAGCTACTCTATCTTAGGGCCCAAGTTGGATATGACCTTAGTTTTACTACTGGATGGGATGGAGCCTCCCATCATCTGATTGATATAGGGAGGGCAGTTTGGATAATTTTCAGAGGTGTTTACTCTGATTTGTTAATACCTGTGCCTTGACAGGATATGAAACATTTGTAATATCTTGGGTTAAAAAAAAACTTTTATTTAAGTCTATTGAGTAAGAAAACAGATACTATTTTGTCTTTAACTACATTAAAAAATCCGAAAGATTTCTAAATCTACCATCAACTCTTTTACTCTCATAGCTGGAAGAAATTACATCAATATTTAGCTATAAAGAACATTTCTGAACAATCCTCCCAGCTGTAGCATGCACAATCATTTCCTTCAAGAGAGGCCTGTGCATTAAGTAATTACCGAGTCAGAAACTAAAAACATTTCATGCTTTATTTTGCTGTTGAAAAGTTTAGGAGTTGACAGATGTTTTCCTTTATTAAAACTAAAACAAATCACAACAACATAACCAAGCTAAGTAAAGACCAGGTAGATGACCAAGAAAAAGAAACTATGATGTGAATTTATGAAGGAAGATATCCTTTAGAGTCAACTAACAACACCAAGAAAAAAAATAAGTTTAATTGTGGTCATAAGAATAGAATTAGCAAATTGTTTTCAAAGAGAATGTTGGTTTATTCAGCCAGGAAAATACTAATGATATTTTCCAATTTTATTTAAATTAATATATAAAGGTATATCTTCTTGAATTTTGAGCTATTTGCCTCCCTTGTCTCTCCTTGTCACTCAAAATGTCAGGAGTCAGAAGAATCTCCAAAGACTATTTATCTGCACTTCAGTGGATTAGACAAAATAGTTGCAGATGACAGGACCCCAGGACTTAAAACCTTCCTGGATTGCCTACTAAGATTAGGGACAACACATTTTAATGCATTTATAGTCACTTCTTCAATATTTAGAATGATATTCATCTCAAGAAGTTTTGGTTTTGTAAATGGCCTAGTTTATTTCTGTATACACCAATATAGAAAAATAATTTCATCCACTGAAACAGTTGTTATAATCTTAAGATGTATTTTCAAGGGGTAAACATTCATTAATTTATTCTTAGGGTGGGGGAGCACCCTCATAGAGGCAAAGGGGAGGAGGCATGGGATGGGGCATTTGCGGAGGGGAAACGAGGAAGGGGAACAACATTTGAATGCAAATAAATAAAATAAGAAAGAAAGAAAGAAAGAAAGAAAGAAAGAAAGAAAGAAAGAAAGAAAGAGAGAGAGAAAGAAATTGAAACTATTGTTCCTTTCCACATTTGTTCATCTATAGTTTCACTAATTGTTCATCCACTTACAGATGTTTTTCCAACTTTTTCTTCTAGAACGCGTACGTTCTTTATTACCTGGCTCTTGTGGGTCACTCCTTGTCGATTGCTGCTTTGATTGTTTCCATGGTGATCTTCTGGAAATTCAAGTAAGTACATTGAAAATACCACTTCCTTTTTATTTTAGTATCAGCTTTATCTTGTATCTTGTTCCCAGAAATACAGTATCATAAGGAAAGTTCTTGAAGAGCCATCTTCCATTTATTATTAATTATTATTAATGTTATCACCGTCTTCAATTTATGTAAGTAGAAGTGAATCTTGAGAGAGTACAGTTACGAGGATTGTAGGAACGTGTGCCACTGAGAGTGATAAATTAGCAAGAAAACTAAATTAGATAAATATACTTTTAACTCTACCTGAAGAGAAGAAGATGGCGTTCTTATCATCTTCAAAGACAATATGCCTCCTTCTTGTAGTAACTCTGCAAACCCATTAAGAACCTGTGGTCTTACAGTTAAAAGTTTCTTTTACCCCAGCTATGGTTCCATCATGGACTAATGGGAAAGTATACTCCATTTTCTTTCACTCACAAGTTCTCAAGTTCAAATGTAACTATTTGAGTTAAAATCATGAGTTAAAAACTCTTGGGGCACCGGGCAGTGGTGGCGCACACCTTTAATCCCAGCACTTGGGAGGCAGAGGCAGGTGGATTTCTGAATTTGAGGCCAGCCTGGTGTACAGAGTGAGTTCCAGGACAGCCAGGGCTATCCAGAGAAACCCTGTCTCAGAAAAAGAAAAGAAAAGAAAAAAGAAAAAAAAACAACTCTTGAGGCTTGAGAAATGGCTCATGAAAGTGCTTACTATGAAAGTGTGGGAAGCTGAGTACAGATTCCAAGCACCCATTTTAAAGCTAGGCATATCTTGTCTGTAACCCCAGCAGTGGGGAAATCAATAGAGAAAGGTGGGTACTGGGGGCTCAATGTCCAGCCAATCACATTGAAATGGCAAACTCAAGGTTCAGTGAGAGGCCATGTCTCAAAAAGTAAAGAACAACCCAAGAAGACACCAATATTGTATCCAGTCTCCACACTCATACATAGTTGTACCCTCAAGCCCTCCACACACAGGAATAATTCACACATGGATCAAATGAAAATAAGTTAGAAACATTATGCACACAGTGAATCTTTATCAAAATAAAGCACTCATAATTTGTGCTTCACTAGCTGTTTTACCTATATTTACAAGTATAAATTTAAAGTAAGACAAATATATATTCTTTATAGAGACACCACAGTTAAGTAATACATTAGAAACTAAAAAAAATATTAAGTAGAAATAATATGATTATTTATAATCAGAAAATAGATTATTGACTGCCGTAAAATAAATGCAGTATAAGTCTTTGACATAATAATCATTGCTATTATAGTTGTTACTAATGACTGTGGAATGATACAAATTATGAAGAGTTTTTATGACTTTTAAATCCAAATAATCCTCCATGCTTATAGGATGTTACATGTCATTAGATATATAGTGACTCATAGTATAAGAGAATCCTAAGTTGATTTTTATTGCAATATTTTCTTGATAATACTAAATATAATTAACCCCAAGGGAGACTACCTGTAAACATACCCTGAGGCAATGATTACTTTGATCTTTTCTAAATCTTCATCTATATCATGCTCACAATTCTTATATTTATTAAGTATTACACCTAAGCAATTTTTTGTGAACAGTAAATGACATAAACAAATCATCAATAAGCTCCTTCCACAAAAGGTTTAACAGAAGAAGGATTGATAGAGCAACAAGACACAGAGAATTAATTACTGGAATTAGAAGAATGTTTTCAATTATAATGATCAGAACACAGCAGAGGAATCACATCACATGATTAATTTTGGAGTGTCTGTTCATTTCTCAATTGCTCTTCATCATCGTAAATAAATAAATCATCATGACTCACATCAGCTGTGATTAAAAAGCATGATGCTAAAAGCCTACCTTTGGGTTCTTTTCTAATAAAAAAAAAAAAACCAGAAAAGTAAAAGAATGAAAATTCTCCACAATTCTAACCACATATAATAAATATAGCCTTGCCCTAGAGATAAGTAGCAGGGGCAAAAACATGGAGATGTTAAAAGCAGGATTCTGTTGGGACAGCTGGAAAAAATATTAATCCTCTATGAAAACGAATTGTTATTCTCTGCCATATTTGCATATTGTGTGGAGAAGTGACTTTGTCTTGTGCAGTACTCATCATTGTGCTCCGGATGGCTTCCTGGTCAGACAGAAAGACCATTCAATTGATAATATCATAAATTATTGATCATATCAATAATAATATTCAAAAGATATTGACATTTTTTCCACCCTGATATAACCAATTGCAAAGATAACCATCGGCCATTTTTTGGCATGGCATTTATACAGCAAGGCAGAACTATGAAGAGGGAGAGAACAAACAGCATGGTTGAAGAGGAATTCTTTATCTATAAAAACCTGTACTGAACCCAAATATATCACTTTCCCTGTCATATAAGACCTTTCTATACCTGATAGCTTTACATTAAATTTCTGGGACATCCAAACTTCTATTTTCATATGAACATTAACATTAGCACAAATGTACAAGTTAATGAAGTAGAGAAGAAACCCAGTACACAGAAGGTAGGAAAGGATTGGGCCAAGCAGGAGCAGCAGCTGTCACCTTCTTCAGATCCAAAGGATAACTGGCCTCACCATGAGATCAAACCTGATCTCATCTAGAGATCTTTGCTGGTGTCTAAGCTCCACTAACAGAAAAGGAAGAAAGCAGAATAGTGGGAAGCCTTGGGAATGGTTCAGGACACGGGCCATGTGCCTTGCCACAGCACTTGTGGCTGCATTCTCTCCCCTCATTTGCTTCATGGTTCTCAGCAGTGGACAGTAAACATTTGATTGGAAGCACATACCAAACCCTCACCATGTCATCATTTCTCTTAATTAACTCTCTAGCATTTATTACCATTAAAAGTAACTTTCAATCTCAGTCTTACAGTTGTTATTGGAAGCTACCATGAGAAACCAAAACCATAAAATGCCACTGGAAAATGAATTTTAAAGCTTTCCTCTAAAAATCTGAAGTACTAAACCATCTCTCCAAGAAATTTTATCATTTAACAACCCTTAATGCTTTCATGTTATTTTTTCCCAGGAACCTTAGCTGCCAGAGGGTGACTCTGCACAAGAACATGTTCCTTACTTACGTTCTGAACTCTATCATTATCATCATCCACCTGGTTGAGGTTGTGCCCAACGGAGATCTGGTGCGACGGGATCCTGTAAGCGCTGTCTGGCTTTGATTTTAATTTGATTGTAAAGATCACAGTATCTAAAGATAGCACGGTTCTAATCATTGACCTAATCAGTTGTTTAAAACATAACCACATTTACATCTGTAGTTGACTTTTTTTGCATTAAGAAAGCCTATTAGTGGTTCTTTAATTGTTACATGTCAAAGGGGGGGTGAGAATCATAATTAAATGAGAATTATGTAATAAGGTATATGCTTATGGTTACCCAATAACTTATCAATTTTAATGATCTATTAATATCTATGGGAAAAATATTAAGTACTTCTTGGGAATACAGATAATACTAGGTACACTGTACTAGTGTTTTCCAGTAAACTCCAGTTAGCCACCAATTTTCATTCTAATGTTTCCAGCATGGGCTTTTGCAGTCACCTCAGCTGTGTGCACTTGTGCATTTACCCAAACAAATCATATACATATGACCGGGTTCTATGTCGTATGCCTTGAAAAAGATCCATATTGACATAGGAAATACAAAGAACCTAAGGTCAACAATTCAAACATTCATGAAATTCATGCCATGTGCACCACCCTTCTATGTATTATTGAGAAGAACTGAAGTCATTTGGCTCTGTCACCAAGAACTGCCGTGGATTCCTTTTGTCAGAATTGTCCTTTGGGTTGCTTTACAATGATTCACGCTTGTCTTCAACTTTCTTTCTGTTTCTCTAAGATTTTTCTCTTCTTAAGATGTGGCTACACTTTAGCCAACTGGGTAAATAGAAATATTAGCCAGTTGCTAGTCCCATGATGCTGAAGTTCAGTTGCTATAAAGTCAGTTCGGGAAACAGTCTAATGTTGTAATTTTGCGTGTGAAATCTTGCATGTGAAATTGTCAATATTTGATCATGTTTGTTCTGAAACATTGACAGATGCATATTTTTCATCATAACACACATATGTGGACAATGCAGTGGGAACTGTCACCACCCTTACCCATGAGTGCACACGAGGGAAAGATGGACCCTAATGACAGTGAAGTGGTATGATGAGGATTGAACTTCAGAGACTCGTGACTTCTGTCTCCAGACACAACCAGCCTGGGACAAAACCAAAAACGGGGGGTGTGGGTGGGGGGGTTGTTTTCTCGTAATTCATTCTCATCGGCTAGTTTGTGTAGAGGGTCCCATTAACTGAGCTGAATCTAGAAACTAGGGTTCAAGGAAGCCTTAGCAGCTATAGAGAGATGTCTATATGTATCCAGGACAGTGGGATGGGGAGGAGAGGGAACCTGGAAGCAGAAGCTGCAGCTATCTAGCACACAGGATGGGCCAAGGCATATTTTAACTTTTGTTTCTCTGCTCAACTGTATTATGCAAGCATCTGTAGATAGCCTCATCTTTCAAATCTGGCATTTGATAGATCTGCCAACCCAATGACAAAAATGCATGAAATCTGCCCAGAGCATCACCCTGCATAGCAGTGGCGTAGCAGTGGCATAGCAAATTAAGCTTCTGCTTAATTTGGCTTCTTATGAAATCCACACTTTTGTCATTTGAATATACTCATAAAATCATTATGATTCTTCTTTAAAATCCATGCCATCTGCTAATAGACACAAAGTCTTGTCTTACCTGAAGACTTATGTAACCAAATGGGTTTTTCTTGATGACTTTCTTTTAAATAACAACTGATTGAAATAAAATTAATCTCATTTAATTTAACACTAACAACATCCCCAGTGAGAAGTGGATATTACCTTATTTTGAAAGTTAGGAAACTAAAATTCTGTAAAGGCAAATTTCTTTTCTGTTACGAATACTTGGAGATAGGACTCAAGATGGCATAATCTCATTCAATCCTATCTCTCTTTTCTATATTCTTGATGATCTGCTATTTCCTTATGTTCTTGAAAAAAAAAGCTACAGCAGTTTCATCCATTGCAAGGATTCTCTGTAATTAGCCATCAAAGTACAAGCAATGCACTAAGTGTCTCTCAGGACTGTTAGAGCCTTTTCATTTCCCATTCAAGGGTTGCATTTCAGTCACTGAAAAATCAACCACACTGACCTGGGATTGGTGCTCAGTCACATTGCAAAGTACTTATGCTCACAAATAGATTTTCTCCCATCTGCTCAGCTTGCTCCCCTGCTGTTACTATCTGAAAGAATTCTCACAGTTTGTGAGATCTTGCTGACCTTGTTATCATCTTGAAATAGACTAACAAGTCAAATTCTCTACTAAATTTACTACTAAATGGTAGGAACTGGTAGAAATGTATCCATCAAGTGAGAATTTAAAAAAAACTGTTTTGTTTGGTTTTAAGAAGTTCTCCTAGAATTCAAAAGAAGCATAACACTTTTAGGATCCCCGAGAACATAATACTAGAAGTTCACAAGGTTTCTGATAACTGATACCTTGTGGCTAAATCCATACATCTTTGTGCTTGGCATTTCAAATGAACTTATTATGCAACTTCTTGTTCATAATAGTCTTGTTAGCTATCTTTTCTAAATGCTTTCACTTTCATAGGATGTCTTAGTGGATGACATACCGAATTACTTTTCCAGTCAAACTATTCTACCCATCACTGAACCATCCTATATCTATCCTGTGGTCCCTCCATTGCCTAGAACCTTTAGTGAAACTGGTGAACCAATAACTGGAGGGCCAGCTTGGCCATTGTGCTGCTGACTTCCTGGGAAAATGTCAATGAAAGCATAGGAGAGCCATAGAGACAGACAGAGAGCTTTTCTATAGTGTGCAAGAATGAGGTTGATTCTCTCACACACATTAGAGCAAAAGGAAAGAAGTTTATCCCTATGTCATGAAAAATGAAAAGCTGGTTCTCCCAATCAGTACATTTTTAATCCAACAAACTCATTCTTTTAGATATATAAGAGCAAACCTCCTAAAGAAAAACTACGGAACACTGAAACAAAAAAATTCTATCCAATCAATTAAGCATTTACTAGGCACTCAAAATTCAACCTTAGTCCTCAGTCTGAAGAGAAGTGATACTATAAGGTGGCATATGTGTTTATGCCATCATCTGTACAGTTCCTAGAGATGCTCCAACTGCATCCATTGTTTTGCAACCATACATATGAGAGTTGTCAATATTTCGACCTATTTTGAAATTTGGCTGTTTTTAATCACACACAAAAAAATCTAACACAAATCTGTATATATGTCTCTATATGTCTAAAAATGAAAGTTCTTTTGATTAAGGCTATACAAAAAAAAAAAAAAGAATGGGCTGCCATATCAGCTCAATTACATAGAAAATAAGTGATGTCATAACGTGTTCTCTTTCACAATTCTAAATGTCTTCATCCCTGAGAGAAAGTATGACAACCCAAACCTCTCATTAAATCACTTAAATAGTACAGGCTAACAGTAAATGATTACAATTCCAAAAGTTAACACATACTTGTAAACTCCTCAGCCTTCCCTTCTCCCAGAAGAAGAAAATTAAGGGATTTGCTTCGTGTACATTCTCTATTTGAATAGTTACGGATTCTCAACAAGAATTCATTAAATGTGACCCTCCATAAATAAGTGTCATAGGACTACTCAATCTGGAGAAGCAAAATTGCTTCAGGATTTTTCATAAGTAGACAGATTTGAAGTGTTTCTGGTCCTTGAAGCCATTACCATCTCTGGAAACTACAATGTGAAATTTATGTTCTCTTACCTTGCAAGTATAGTCTACAGCAAGTGCAATCATGAAAGCCCAGTTTCATGAGGATCTCTTCCCATCCATAAGAGGATTTCTGAGGATTATAGTAGGCCCCATCATTTAGGTGTGAGGAAAGAAGACATTTCCCCTATTGCCATAGAATTGCGAATAGAGGGGAGAGATGAGACCAGGAAAACTTAACTGTTTTTCCCAATTTCTTGGAAGAAAAGTTCTCCTTGTCTAATGAACATTACCAGCAACCAAAGGCTGAGAACTATGTTCTCAACCCTACTAAGTCATATGCAGAATCATGCATTTAAAGTTACTTCAATGAAGTGATTTGAAGAATCTCTTCCCCCCAAAAAGCAACCCAAATTGTATGAAACCAAGATTCTGCCTCACCATAAAAAAACAGAGGCAAGGAAGAAAACAAAACAAAAATAAATAAATAAATAAATAAATAAATAAATAAATAAGAATAGAAAAGAAAATGCAATAGAGGAAAAACTTTTTGGAAATGGAATGTTAGTAATCCACAAATATTTATTGAAATATAACGTGAACACTACAGTCAGAGTCATAAAATTGAAGAAAAGGTAATTCACCTGTACATTTTCCATTTCTAAATGTCATATGGACTCAGTCTCAGTTTAAAACACACACACACACACTACTTAATTTTCAAGGATATTTTTCTCTCCTAATTACACTAAATCTGAGAAGTGACCTGTTTTTCTACTTCATTAAATATCCAAGAGTCACAAAACTTTTTCTGTCCAATAGTTAAGGGAATATATTCAAAAGAAGAAATCCATTCTTGATAAGGGAGGCCACCTCATCTCATATGTACCAACACAGACCATCCCTCTCAGCAGTGGTGAATCTCTGTGGCTCTCTGCTCCCTTACCCATCAAGGCAGTCACTCGCTGCCCCCAAAGGGTTTTTTTTGTGTGTGTGTGGATAGGTTTTTTTCTTACCTATATTACCCAAGATAAGAATCTTATTCCTTCACCTTCTTCTATTTTTTCTCAAGTTAACTTCAAAATAACTCATGCCATAAATAAGGGCTGAATAGATCCTCAGTTTACTGAGTGATGTGAAAATTGCCCATTGTCATTTAAGCATTTCATTTCCATAATATCCAAATTTTCACTTTTCTTATTCTATCTGTTCACTCACTGATCTCCATGAGGCAGCCTTAAGAGCACTGTTCTTGTTGCATCTAAATGAAGCTGCTTGTCATTTTCTAGAAAGTAAGGTCTGTCTGAACTTTCTATCTGGCTCTAAGAGGGACAATACAGGGAGACTGGTTTTTACTGGGAACCTGAGCACTTTGCAACTCGAAGGCTGAGACAATCAGATTACATTTTTATAGCCTCTTAGCTAAGTAAGACAAAAGAGTCCCAAGCTCAAAAATGGCATGACCCTCACATGTCCATGACAATGGAGCTACCAAACTATAACACAGTGTCATTGTAGGAGATTACAGAAAGATCAACTTGAAAGTGTGCTCAGAATCTAGACACTGTGGATTGTAAAGTCCAGGGTGGAAATGGCTGCTCCTGCCCAGTGAAGGGCAGCTGATACAAGGCAGACCATGGAAGTGGTGACTGAGGGAAAGGCTGGAATAAAAAGTCCACAGTGGATTAAACTAGACAAAAGTTACCTATTTCAGTATCCTATAAGAATATGGACTGAAAATAAACCTATGTGATGAATTTGCTGGGACAATATGGAGGAATATTGTCATGGAATCATCCTGTAATGGGTAGTCTACCCTAGCCTACTATTCTTCATTTTACTTAAATGGAAAAACCAGTTTTATGGGGAAAAATGTTTCTTTAAAAGTTGGTTCATGCTTACCCAGCCATTATAACCATCGGATAATATTACAGATTATATGACCTATTTAAGAGGAAATGGTGAAGGCTGAGTTGCTCCTCTATTGGATAATATTAGAACAGGGCAATTGTAGTGCCCTAAAATGAAAGGGTAGTCTTTTCAGAAGGGTGAGGAGCTGAAGCTCTATGTATATATCTATATTTGATGCCATCTAATCATATATATTCAAAGGAATCTAAGAGTATAATTAAATCTAAGTAAGATTTAATTTAAGGTACTGAGATCTAAGGTACCAACAATTCAACTGGGAATTTGGATTTAGCCATGTAAAATACCTATATTCAAGCAAACAAAATAGAAAAAATTCAAAGGAATATAACAGACTTTATACCAGAGAGTCTACAACATCCCAATAATTATGGTACCTAGAAATTGTTCAAAAGTACCAGATATTAAAAAAAATAAATTAAAAGTATGGTCCCTTGTCAAGAGAAAGTACAGACATATTTGGTGGATCATTTCTGTAATCCCAACGTTCAGGAGACTGGAGTAGAAAAGTTGCCATGTGTGTTAGACCTACTTGGGCTATACAAGAAAGAAAGTAGAATTAAGATCAACTGTTAGTTACCCAGATGTTAAAATGATCATAATATGGAGTAGTCATTATAACTATGCTAAAAGTTGTGAGTGACTAGAAAGACAAAAAAAAATCTTAACCAAAAAATTGAAATTACTAAAACTGAACCACATGGAAGTTCAAGAACCATAAAGCAGAAGACCTGAAATGTAAATAAGTTACATTAGACTAGTTTATTTGCAGGATGGAGGCCACAAGGGGAGATTCGGCAAAAATCAGTGGTTAACCAAGAGTAACTATCCAATTTGAAGAAGATACATAAACCACCAGGGAGGGATAAATAGTCCCAAAAATATTTAAGCCAAATACATAAAAAATTCAAAATACATATATCATAAACACAATGAAGAGACATCAAAGAACTGACTGGAAACAAAATGAAGCTTAAAGGGCCAATAATGTTTCAAACCTTATGAAGGCTAAATAGACTCATTTTGTCTTAAACCAAATTCCACCTCATGAACAAGGAATTCATATTATTAGGGGAAAATGGTCATAATCCTCACTACACATACTGCAATTTCAGAGATTATACAACAATCAAAAATATGCATGACCACTTTATTTATCTCGATAAGTCTAGATACTTAACAGGGAGAACCAGAACATTCTAGATTAGGTTCAAGACACCTCTATGAACTTAATGATGAGCACTTCAAATTGTCAATTTAAACCTGAAAATTGTTTGTGGAAAAACAAGGCATAGTGAAACAGCAGTGTACTTTTACTTAGTGACCGGAACTAGAAAATTGGGTTAAGTATTGACCACTAAAGAGTTCTGTGTGCATCCAATGGAACCTACACATACCAATTTTTCTAAAAATGCTGTGCAAAGCAAAAACAACTCTTCCAGCAGGGACCCAGGAGAAGAATAACAGAATTTATATGAGTATTTTGTTTAGAGAAAGTCATCATCAAAAGGTACCCTTACTGGACACTTAGAGGAACATGACAAAGACCCAAAATGCAACCAACATAAAAATTTAGTTTAGGAGAGTTTAGCTCAACTTTATACATTTTCTATGGATGTCAGCAGCCTGACCCCCACCCCCCAAGATATGTCCTGATGTCTACAAATATTCTCAAGAATCTCAGAAATATTTAGTTAAAATAAAAGACCATGAAAATTGTGTCCACTCTTGAATAAGCAATTCTGGTTTATGTACTAAATAGTAGTATTAGTTAAGAGTTGAAACACTCAATTGAACAACATTATGAGCCATATATAGAGCCATATTCATTTAAATTGAATAAGCATCTGTTACACACCTCTGTCTATATATTATTGGATACAAGTCCTTAGGATAGTAGTGGAGGAGTCTAATGTATGAAATAAAATAGTTATATATTAACAGCAACTATAGGTTCACTCAATGTGGAACCTAGATATTCAATTTAATTTAATTTTAAAATTAACCTAAACATTGAATCAACATAGACCACATATCTTTGCTGCGTGGGATCCTTTAAAAACGTCTTTCCACACATCACGTTAAATATTTAGAAACTGAATTATTGATTCATCTTCCCTTGATCAAGTAAACACAGCTTCCCACTCTTTTTTTTTTTCCATTAAAGTGAACTGGTGAGAAAACAGAATTTCCAAGGAAATATAAATAAGTATGCTGAATCACTACAGAGAACTCAAATGAGCAACAAAGTTTATTTCTGTCTGAAAACAAAACTTGGCAGAACTAAAAATTGGAAGCTTTAGCTCAGAGGAAAGTGTTTTGGAGTTAGCACACTAGCCATTTCAAACAAATTCTGAATTTGTTTTTTAAAAAAATTAATTATACTAATCAACGTACCCTTAAAAATTTGCCAAATTTCCTTAGGAACTTCTTTTGTCCCTCAATAACTAAGAAACAGAAGAGAGATTCTTTGTACTTACTCCATTTTGCTTTAATATTTTCCTAAGTATTTGAGAAGTAAATTTACAGTCCCCCACCTCCCTTAGTATAAAATAGTCTGCATTGCAGTATGCTACTCCATCCCCTCAAAAGAACAAAATTCAAAGTGTGAGCAGAACATTTTACAGTACCCACCAATGTGTTCAGCCTAATACTCCACTCCTTGCTGGTTGTCCGAAAATTGAGTAGAGAATTTAATGTTCTTCAAACAAGCCCCTCTAGTTAGCCTCATTGATTCTCCTAAATGCCAGACTTTGTTATGTATCTGAGGAAACAATTGTTAAAATAATTTAATAGTCAGATTAACTAGAATATATATATATATATATATATATCTAGAAGTCATTGTGCATGATCACATTTGTTTACATGTCTGTCTTGCCACCAGAAGGCCACCCGCTTGATCATAAGCATTGAACTCTGCAAGAATAGAGCCGTTAAGGGATATATGGCCATTGTTTTAATTATCCCTTGATAAATTTGTTTATCAAAACAAGAAAGTCTTGATATGCTTACAAAGAAAGTAAAAGACAAATACACTTCTTTCAAGTAGTGACTATTGTGCTGTGGGCCATGAATTCAATATCAACGAGTCAATAATATATATCAAGTAAGGTGTCTGTACACAAAACAAAAAACTATGTGTTGATTATGGGATGAAAATGTTATTTTCATCTTTAGAGGCCTCAAAAAAAATTCTCACCTTGTACTATGCCTAGACACATGGGTTAGTGCTTGCTAATTCAGTTTTTATAATTATTTCTCCATGCTAATTCAGTTTTTATAATTATTTCTCCAAACAAAACAACAACAGATAACGTTGTTATGTTTCAGTTAATGTGAAACCTCAGCTACTCTAGAGCACATAGGCAAAGGCCATCACGTCCACATACTGGTCCCCTTTCCCTGCAAGAGAAAAACCACCACAATTTCTAGGAATCTTGGGGAGGCTGGGATTTCAAAGAGTAACTTTGAAGAGGAATCCAGAATCTCAATGTTTACTGGTGTTTGGGTATCTTGAAACCATCATTGCAAGTACTTAGTCAGTAAACACAAGTTGATGAATTAGTCATTCAACTAATTCTGATAAGGAAGATAACCTACGCAAGGACTACAGGGCCAGGTATGTCTGCTAGTTCTATCCCAAGTCAAACAAATTACTTCAGATTTCCTGATGTTGCGGATTTTCTACATTTCTGTTCCTACTGGTCTGAAGCAGAAGCTGATTCTATCTGTGAAAGCATACATAATATCTCCTTTTAATGAGCCAAGCTGGCTTTCTCTTATTAGTCTTGAAGGAAAAAAAAAGCATACCAGAAGATGTGTTGGCTCAGATCACTCCCCATTAAATGAATTACAATTACTATGAATTCAGTAGAAATGTACAAGTCCACAAAGGTGCTTTAGACTGAAAGTCATTTCTCTGTTCCAGTGCTTTCTGAAAGGAAAAGTTAAATCCAGCTAGACTCAAGTCAACCCATAGGAGGGGCAGCGTAATAGAATGCATGCCTTTGGTAAAATAATTGCCATGAGAACAACCACTTCCTGTTCTCTATAATTGGAATGCTGAGTTGTATTGACATTGCCTTGTAGTTGTTGGCAATTAATTAAAACTAGCTGTCCCCAGGTAGGACCTCTAAACTAGAGATATTTTACTCCACAAAGAACATTTGGAAGCATCTAGAGACATTTTTCATTGTTGTGAGTGAGTGAAGGAAGCTATAGGCTTCTAAATAGAGGGCAGAAATAGTTAACTGCTACAAGCTCAGGGCAACAACAACCAATTATATAGCCAAAAATGTCAGGGATGCCAGGATGAGAAACCCTGTTCTAAAATGACTAGGGACTAGCAGGATATTCTGTTATGCAGTTGGTGGTTTCCCCATTTGGTGACTACTAGATACATAACTCATTCCTATTCTCTGAGTAGTCACTGAGGACACAATCCTCATATTTGGAGAGGGTTTGGCATACCCTTGGTTCCTAATGTAGAAGAAAACAAGGCTACATATGAAAGAGAAGCTGGGATCAACATGGGTTCCTGGTCCATACAAAAGAATTTTCTCCCCTGGTGGTCTCTTCTTTATGGCATTACTAAGAGACCAATTAGCTTCAGAAGCAACAATTAATGTCTAGGGTGATTTGGCTCATGGACGACAGGAGGAGGAAAGATTAAAGAAATTATATGACAAACCCTTGAATGTTTTTTAAAAACTATTAGTCTCAGACACCTTATAGGAAAAAGAACTGCTCTGGTCTAGGTTAGTCTCCAGAATTTAATGGAGAAAAGAATATTTTGTGGCCTCCGCTCTCAGTAACCTATTCAGCTATTTACATAAAATACTTGTGACTCTTACACTGTCCCTTTAATTTGTAAATGTAGAGGACACACATTGACAAATACTCAGGGTAATTCTTGAGAGTTCAATGCAGATATTTTGGCTCATCAGTGCACACCTCCTCCAACCACATCTCTAACAATTCCTTCTGCTCAGAATCTTCATTTCTTTCTAACAGATAAGCTGCAAGATTCTACACTTTTTACATCAGTATATGATGTCTTGCAACTACTTCTGGATGCTCTGCGAGGGGATCTATCTTCACACTCTGATTGTCATGGCTGTGTTTACCGATGAGCAACGCCTGCGCTGGTACTATCTTCTTGGCTGGGGTAGGTATTTCAAACAACTAGATTCTGAGCTTGGGACCAGTCTTTACGTATTTGCACCTTTGCATATTTATACCCTTCTTCCAGTCTTAATTTAAAAAGACACACTCAGAATTCCAAGTACTTGAAGAACTTCCTTCACATATTTCTTTCAAGTTGAGTTGACTTATTTCATTTGAAACACAACTGGTGGGATTTTCTTTTTAAGAGTTTCAAAAGTATCTATCTGTAAAACTCAAAAAAACATTCCATGAGAACAAGTGCTAGCTATAAATTTATTCTCACCTATGACATTCTACTGTGACAAAGATATCTGGGAAGGAACATCTATGCTTTTCTTTCCAAACTAGTTGATTGTAAATTAATTATAAAGCTTGTTGGCACCTTTGTATACAGCTCAATAAAGATCTGTATTTAGCATATAAACAATACTAAGGGGAAAATACGTTGTTTACCTATATTAAAAAACGAAGGAATGCTAATGACATATTTATACAATACCTTAACTTTCCTTGATCAGCAAGTATGTAAAACTTCATTAGCAAGATCCAAATAGAAACATAAAGATAATTACACTCACAACAACCACAGGATGGGACACTGATGGCTAAGGCAGTTCAATGGTCTTACCACAGGGAGGGAAAAAAAAAAGGCAGGACTTGCTTCTTATAGTAGGTATTTGGCAAGACAGAAAGTCACCCAAATTCAGCAATGCACTATTAGGACATGCCAAGGTCTGTTCACTTCTACCTACACACACTCACACACATGCATGCATCCACAAAGAGAAGAAAGAAAGAAAGAAAGAAAGAAAGAAAGAAAGAAAGAAAGAAAGAAAGAAAGAAAGAGAGAGAAAGAGTGAGAGAAAGAGAGAAAGAGAGAAAACTAAAATCCACCACATTCCTTACCATTAAAACAAACAAACAAATTCACAATGCCAAATACAACTCCCCGAAACAAATGAGACCATTAGAGTGGCAGATTTTAAAGCGATAGCCTTCGTGTAGAACTTGAAATAGCATTGTCTTTGTGTGGGAGGAACACAAGTAAAGGTAAACTCAAATAACTTTTCAAGAAAAGTGTTTCACAGGAATGTTAAGAGACGTAATGGAACAGAAAAACTTTCTGCTGAGCAATACATGGTTTCACATTGAAAATTTAAAATGGTAACCTGGGTTCTAGACTTTACAACATCAACAAAGTAATGCACAACTGATATTTTGAAAGTACTCTTCAAAGTTAGGATGCAGAAAGTATGCCCCAGAAAGCTATTTTCTGGGAAATAACTAGTCTTTGGGGGATATGAAGACCATCTGGGTGAAAAATGTTTCCAAATCCAGGATCCAAAATGGAATTCCATGATTTATGAGAGCATTAGTATTGCTCTTGATTTCAGTGTTGTTAGTAGAAAGGTCAGGTTGTTGCAAGTCCTAGGGATTGGAAGAACAGGAACAGAGAGAAAAACCAAAACTGTACATATTAAAAAAAAAGTCACAGTAGCTAGAGGAATGTCAAGACCTAGCAGTTAGATGTAGTGTGTATACATTAACTAGGAAATATGCTTGCCTTTCAGTGAAGAGGAGTAACAGACTCTGATTCCCAAATGCATTTTTTGCTGTCTAATCCTAAAATGAGGATTTCAGAATAAATCTAGACAATAACTTTGAGTCTCTGAATCAAATAAAGAAACAGTCTGTTAGAATTGCTGTGACTAGCACAATAATATGTTGTGTAAATAGTCCACGTTAAAATTATTTCAAGCCCAACATATAATCAGTGGTATTATTGAATTATTTCATTTATGCATTTAGAAACCCACACGACTTTATGTGAAAACCTAATAGTTTTAGGATTTCTTTCCTTCTATTTTTTCATCTCATTTATGGAAATTTGAAGGGTACCAGTTTAGTTCTTTCCTGAGACACGTTTCTGAACCTGACTGTAACAACAAACCGCTTTCTACAGATGCTTCAATCAAAGCCAGCTGTATTATCACGTACTAGGTACATCTGAATAAAAAGACAATCTTTTTTAAAGGAAAATTACAACTTTAGAATACATTCATGGAGAGAAAAATTATTTTAAAAATATATAATTTGACAGGGTGAATGGATATCATCTGTATTTTTCTCAAGATAAACTCAAAGGGAGTTTTGTTTATGCTTGCTAGCACTTCGATTTTGATAAGGAAGAGGACAGTATGTGTCTCTATAAGCCTCAGCCAGAACTATAGAGGGGTAGGAATATACTGGCTTCTCTAAAATATTGTTTTAAAAGGAAACAGAATCAGTGTACATGAAGCAAACGGGAAAATAAAATAACACCCAAAAGAACTCATATGAACATCAAGGAAGGCTTTCATGGCAGTCAGCATCCCAGGTGACATGTCTCAAGAGTGGCCCAGAATCTCGCCATGTGAAAGTCTAATCCAGAACAATGAAAGACTTTCTTGTTCCAGTTCAGAGTATCAGCAAAAGACTATTCAAAAAACAACATTAGTACGACTCACAGTGCGAGTTACAATGTACCTACTGCAGCTAGGAATTGGTGAAAGGCTTGTAATTGTCTGGATGCTCTTAGCCACATGCTGACAATGCTCTAGCCAGGAGCAGCTCTATGTGGCTTGGTCAAAGATAATTTGTCTACAAACATCAGGGGAATGTCTTGATAGGTAACCTCAATTCGAAACCATATTTGCAAAATTATCTATGCCATCTTAGTTAAACTTATGGCATGGGGGCCAAGTTTGATTTGTGCTTTTCCCAATTTTAGGGTTCCCAATAGTGCCAACCATTATCCACGCCATTACTCGTGCCCTCTACTACAACGACAAGTAAGTATCATGTTGATTTTTAAGGTAGGATATTCCAAAGAAAGAGCACACTCATACTGATGTGGGCCCTTGCTTTTCTTCAGCTGCTGGCTGAGTGCGGAAACCCACTTGCTTTACATCATCCATGGACCCGTCATGGTGGCTCTGGTGGTGAGAATTGGCTTTTAAATATATTGCTATCAGTTTCGTTGCTCAGCTTTGTGAATACATTTATATGTGGCACATGTACTGTAACTACAAAATAAAGCAAATTTAATGTGATTTTGTCATAAAGGAGCCAACTATGTTCTTCAAAAAATTTCTCCTGCTTTATGTGTGGAGAAGCTCATTTGCATGCACAGGAAAAGGACAGTGTAGCACTTTAATCTCAGAGACAGTGTTTTCTTTTCTCATAGTAATAAAAATAAGAAGTCTTAATAAATGACAACATGCAACTATTATACTGAGGAGGTATTCCTTAGTAACCAAAGAAATTGATCACCATCCAGGCTGGTTTTTGATCACTCCAGTTGGGTTGTCTGTTTTCCTTGTTTGTTTTGACAAAAACAACTTAAGAAGGAGTATATTTGGCTCCTAGTTTGAGGGGATACAGACCATCTTAACAGAGGATGCATGCCAGAATATGAGACGGCTGTTCACATGGTCTGTCCACAGTCAGGAAGCACAGAGCAATGAATGCTGCTGGTGTTCATCTTCCTTTTATTCAGTCAGGGACCCAAGTTTGAAGGATTCAATTACTATCAAAAGTCTCATCTTTTCTTTCTTTCCTTCTTTCTTCCTTTCTTTACATTTTTTTTTTCAAAATGGTCACTTCTATTCCAGGTTTTAAAAATTCACTCTGTGTACTTACAATACAATTCTTTTAAAATTTTATTTTCAAAACTCACCTGCAGAGCTAAAAATTAGGTGTGGTTCAGTTGTCGACTTTTTATATTTTACAAGTTCTCTAGTCATTGATCTGGTAGATACCGTATTGTCTACTCCACAGTAATGGATGATTTGCCAATATGACTCTTTGCAGGTCAACTTCTTCTTTCTGCTCAACATTGTCCGCGTGCTTGTGACCAAGATGAGGCAAACCCACGAAGCCGAAGCCTACATGTACCTGAAGGCTGTGAAGGCCACCATGGTTCTTGTGCCCCTGCTGGGGATCCAGTTTGTTGTGTTTCCCTGGAGGCCATCGAACAAGGTGCTTGGGAAGATCTATGATTACGTCATGCACTCCCTGATTCATTTCCAGGTAAGGAAACTAGCCCCACATTTACTTGGTGGCTTATTCTCCTGGTAGATCCATCTGACTAAAACCCATAACACTCCTTGTAAGATTATGATCTTAAAAGTCAAAATGCTTAGCCTTCAACTGAGCAGGCCCAACCAAAAATTTTGAAGGAAATAGGGTGTGAAAAAGGCAATTGTTTCTACTTAATTGATACACAGGACCCTTTACTGGTTCCACCTGGGCAGTTTTTCACATATCAGGTAGCTACTGAGCATTTCTTTCATAAACCAGTGTGACTTGGAGTGATTAGAGTAGTGAATTTCCACAGAGCTGCCCTTGCCTTCTGCCCCATTACCGTTCATTGTCTGAATCTATCCATGAGAGTTCTAGGCCTGTAAAGGAACACTGTACCTGGGCTTCTCATGTTTCTCACATAGAAGAGTACAGAGTGAGATGCTAGAGCAATCCTGGGCTGCACAGTTAGCCAGACTAGAGAAGAGAGCAGGTTCCTTGTTTCCATTCACTCCAAAGACTTGGCCCAGATTAAAAGCTTCAATAAAGGCTACAGATAGGTATTTTGAGACTCCATATGGATATAAAGAGGTTCTCAATGAGAGGATCTAACATAAGCATCTAGGGCAGAATTTTTCTTTCTCAATTACAAATTTCAAATCTACTGCGTCCTTCTAACTACCAAAGCATAATATGAGGAACAGGCCAAAGTTAATTAAGTCACAAAGAAAAGCCTGGCATTTCTTTAATAAGCTAAGCTACTGGGATCATACTTAAAACTTGTCACAAGGCATCTTATGAGGCTTAAGCAAGACCCCAAAGGCAACTGAATATAAGTTTCTGAGAAATATACTTGCAATAGCTCCTCACTGATTCACAGACCACAGCTTCACACTCAAGCTTGCAAAAAGATTTCTCTGATGATCAAAGCTTTTAATTTTTTAAATTTAATCAATGTATTTTTCTTTTCTCTTTAGGGATTCTTTGTCGCGACTATCTACTGCTTCTGTAACCAGGAGGTAAGTGTGTGTTTCACATAATACTATCACCCACTTATATAAAGCCAGCATTTTACATTTTCCAAAGGACCACAGTGCAATTTCACCAGATCTCATTTCAGTATGCTCTCATAGGGGATTGAGAGTAATGGTGGAGTGATGGTATTCCTACTACCTCAAGCTAAATCTCACTAACCTATGGCTGCGTGGTGCAGTTACACATAGAGCCCAAAGAGCATGCCAGGTTCTCCCTTAGATGATAATGTCAGCAATGCAATGATAAAATTAAAATGAAATTTTAATTTTGATTCACTGTCAGCATGTTGCTATCAGAGATTGTTGTCATGGAGTAAAGCCTCATATGAGAATCTGAGTATCTGGGTCAGTGTACACAGAGATGTAGACAACCAGGCTACCCAGGTAGTTTCAGCCAGAGTCTCCTCTCCTCTAACACATTTTGCCTGAGAGCTCAATGTATACAACATGAATAGAGCTACTATAGCCCTAGAGGTTCTTCCAAAGAAGCCCCACAATCTTAAGGAATACATTTCCTGAATTGTTAGAATACACAAGTGTTCTTCTTGTTGTAAATTAATTCCTATTTAAAAAATACTTCTATTCAAGACAAATCACAGTTTGTTATCATATGATTCCATACTATCCATTTAGTGTTTAAGGAACATTTTCTAATCATTAGCAATGGGTACCTACTACCTGTTCTATTATTTCTTTAAATAATATTCAGTGGATATGTAAAATACATGCCTGCTTTGTCAACTGATAACCATCTCCAAAACCAAGTTAAATATTTTCATTCTCTCTTCGCTTGTACATCTTATTCTTTGATCTACAGTTCATTCCTCCACTCGACAAAGTGTATTTGTGAACTCATGGTTGCTAAGTGACATAGTAGGAGTCTGTTGAAGGCTGGTCGAGTGACCCCTCCTCTTCTTTGACAGTAAAAACTAAGAATTGAATGGGGCTTAAATCACCCCATGTAGAATATTGTTGCACCAGTGAGAATGGTCTGTGACTCTTGCATTTTGAGTTTGTTTCAGTATATAAAATAAATTTTTTCATCTAAAACAATATCAGAACAGGGCTAACATAAAAATCAGACTTGGAAAGCCTTGAAAAGCATGAGAGGATTGCATGTATTTGTAAAATTGCCACAATATTTATTGTGTCTTGACTACAATGTCACTGGGAGTCTCAGGCACAGAAAGTAAACCCAAGGGGGACCCGTGACAGTTGAAATAGCTGGAGTTTATTGCCTATGTTTTTTTCTGGTTTTGAAATGTTTCTGTTTTCATTAAGATTGTGTAGCTAGAGGAAGGTGTAAATGTGACATTTTTAATATTACAAAAACGGTATACTGGGCCAAATGTAATATCACACAGTCCCATGGACGTCAGGCATCTGGGTCTCAGCTGGATGTTCTACATACATTTCCCCTTCTGTCACCAAATTCAGGCAAGGCACTCACACTCATAGGATGTTACTTTCAGCTACATCTGAGATAAGTCTGTCGTGAGGCTTTGCCTGGCTGGATATTGAGTTTCAGCAAAGATCCAGGGGGCCAGTAGGTCAGAAATGCAACGATAAAAGAGTTGAAAATTTAATTCTGATTCATTACCCGCATGTTGCTGTCAGTGATCACCATCATGGAAATAAAGCCTTACAGAGAGGGTTCATGGATAGCCTAAGCACACATGCTAGCTTGTGGTGATGGAGTAGAGAATGGCAAACAGGCCTTAAGTCCTTCTAGTATTGGAGAGAAGCCCCATCTTCCATGCATCAGCACATAACTATGTGCTTATGAAAAATTTAACAGTAAAAGAGGGATACACACCAAACCATCCGAATCTATCCATGAAAATTTCAGTATAATGTTTATCTCCTCAGATACGAAAACCAAAGACCAGATATACTAGACTTCCATGGCTTACTCCTATTGTACTAGAGGCAGCAAGAACAATTGTGTCTTCAAACCCTCAGGCAGAGTTTTCATTTTTCAAATTCAAAGACAAATACATTGATAAAAATCAAGTTTTGGTTGCTTTTTCAAATGAGTAATAAACATATAATCTGAAACACTGCATTGGTCTTACCCTGTGATCTCTTGAGGCATTTCTACTTCTTTTCAGAATAGATAGAAGTCTCAGAGTTGTTTTGGTTTTTGGTTTCTGTTTCAAGAGCACAAATTTAATGCCCTTATTCTTATCCTCAAAGTAGCATTAAGTCCAAGTACTGTAGCCATCTATCTCTGTAAGAGATAAGCCTTATTGGGCTGTCATCTTACTGTATCTTTTGCATGCTGCTCAGGGACTGCTTCTGTACGTATACTTTATAAATGGAAGCAGATTACAAGCAGATTGCTATCACCACACAAAAGAATGGCTCATAAATTTGAAATGCAATTAGAGAAGGTTGCTAACTTCCTGATAATAATTTTAATAATAAAAATAAAGAAATAATAATTTTAAATATTAAAATTGACTTTAAACCCTTTGGCCTCATGTTGGGCTGGGTAATTCAGTTTATATGGATTCTCTGGTAGGTATTGTAAAAAGACAGGAGAGGCAAAAGTAAGATTTTTTTTCCCTATGGGGCACTTCTTGCCAACTAACTGTACATTTTTAACTATCTGCAATGGATGCCTCTAAAACTCCAAGTAAGCTTTAACTGTAAGGACAACCTTGGTACCTAAGAGATGCTGAATCCATGGAAACTATCAGTTCCCTTTATCTACAGAGACTGCATCTCCAAAGACACTGAACTGGCATCTTTCCTAGTTTCTCAAGAGTACACTGATGGTCTCTAGATTATAAATCTGACATCAAAGGGCTTATCTACAATCCAAATAAAGCCAGACTTCAATTGGAACTTGGATTCTGCCACATTGCAGCTCCCGTGCTGTGCACACATGGCGTAATCTAAGCCCTCCCATCTGTAGGTGAACACGACAGTGGTGCCCTTGTAAGAAGGCTGTTGTGAGGATTAAATAAATTAATTCAAATCAAGTGATTATAAAATGGCCTGTGGCAATCAGTCAGTAAGGAGTAACTAAATGCTTATGCCATCCTTTGTCCCTGTATGACTTTTATCAGGGCACAAAGTCCAGCTGCATGGTACACCTCACCCCCTAGCACTGTAAAGTTTTGTTTCTCTGCTTAAAATACACTCGTATCTAAAATCTTCTACCTACACACATACATCCATAGCTTGTTTGAAAAGTCCAGTATTTCAAATGATCCAATTACCAGATGATTCTGATTGGGTTTTTTTTTCCTACCAAAAGAGACTGAAGTGTCAGTTTTAACATGTTTTCACTGCCTTAGTCAGAGTTTTTATCTGGAGCACCTCATTTGGCGCTAAAGGTAAATGCACAACATTGGTCTATTATCGTAAAATGTATGGCTAGATTGTGGTTTATGAATATATTCTCATGATCCACAAGCTCAGATTTTGATAAAAGTATGTCTTAGCATGATAGGCAGCAAGTAATTTTTCTTAACTCTGTCTACTGAGACATGCCTGCTACATTATGAAACGAGGCAACCTTCTCTCTCAAGCTATGAGAGCCAAGACAGAAAGCTTTGCTCAAAAATGGCAACTGGCTTCCTTGTCAGTTGTTACCCAGACAGGTAACTCACTATCTTGATTGGCGTATTGATAGTTCAAGGAGGTGTATTTCTTAGCCACAGTATAAAGTCCGTTCTTAGATCAAATCTACAGTGTAACCTCCATTGGCCTCTGATGAGCCCCAAGGGTCGTGTACATAAGGTTTGCTTGGGTCACAGCCGACAGTCTTTGGAAACAAGCTCTCTTTGCTCTTGCAGGTGCAAGCCACCCTGAAGCGCCAGTGGACGCAGTTCAAGATCCAGTGGAGCCAGCGCTGGGGAAGGGGAAGGCGCCGCCGCCCCACCAACCGTGTGGTTAGTGCTCCTCGCGCTGTAGCCTTCGCTGAGCCAGGTGATCTCCCCATCTACATCTGCCATCAGGAGCCAAGGAATCCTCCTGTCAGCAACAACGAAGGCGAAGAGGCTACTGAAATGATCCCCATGAACGTCATCCAGCAAGACCCATCCGCTTGAATGTGAAGCAACCCCAAACATCCACTGAGCCTTCATTTCCTGGGGGAAAGACAGACCATGCATTTCAAGTGATCCCCATCCCTCCCCCACCCCCAGGGGCTGAACATTTCATTTGTGAAGAAGTATTAAGTGAATTTGTCCATAGTGACTTTGAAGAAAGTTACTCTTGGTACTATTGCTTTGGGAGTCAGTCTAGGAATAGAGTCTCCCAATGCAACTTGTGAACGTCATCCTTCGCCCTGGACCAAGATGACAGTGTTCATAGGAAAGCAGGCAAGGTATGCAAAATGTCACTAAATTGACCTAGTTCAGACACAGGGTGCTGCTTGTTAATCTTGAGCCATTTGTACCTTTGAGAAATTAAAATCACTCTCAATGTTTTTAATTTTAACACTAGATTTTTGAATTAGACTATTTCCGTATTTGGCTATGGATCTGGTTTTTAATCTTTTTATTTCAGTCAATTCCTGTATTACACATTTTACCATCCATATGATGTCAACTGCACAAATAACATGACCTCTGAAAGATGCTGTGTCTTTTGTCACGTGAGTCAGTTCATCAGGCAGACCCAAATGCTGCAATGAATTGATCTGAGTGTTGGATGTGCTTTAGTCACTGACATCTATAAATTGGGAGGTCATCAAGAACCTGTCACCAAATTTTTCACTAAACTGCCCCTCCCCAGATTTAATTCTCCATGAAAGAGAACACTCTTTAAAGAGAGTTTTCCATTCTCCTAAACTACAGGATTTATAAAGCAAATCACTCCAAAGTTTATAAAGCAGATTACCTCTTACCCTTGGGTGCTATCTAGCAGTAAGAGATAGATTTGTTTACGACTGGTAATTAAAAGACTCCGTACAAGTCCATTAACTGCCTTCAACCCAGCTTCAAAGCTTAACAAGATCCCTGTGTTTTCCAGGAAGACTCAGTGTGGCTAATTACGAATCAGTTTCTAGTTGACCTCTTGTTTGCTGCTATTAGTAAAACAAGAGGGAGGAAAACACATTGTAAAAACTTCAAGTTTAACCACATATTAATTATTCTTAAATTAAAAGCAGAGCTTCTCATCAAAACCCACTACTATATCTCTGCATCTCTCTTTACTCCCCTATCTGAGATCTTCAAAGATCCATAAACCAATACCATCACCGATTTCTGAATCTGCAACAGGAATCAGTTATTATTATTTAATTTGTATGCTCAAAATCTCATGTCATCTTTGTCACCTTACGTCACTGCCTTTCAGAGGTGATTTAGCTGTGTAAAGACAGAAGTAACTTGACTCGTTCTGGTTACATACTTGGTGCACCCAGAGAAAATTGTATTTCACTAGCGACTGTGGACCTTGGATACTGAGAGTCTCCTGTACCAAAATGGAAGGAACGATTGAAAGGAAGGATTTTTTTTCCAATCACAGTGTTACATGATAATGTTCCTATGTTTTGTTTACAACCATCGAAATCAGTGTATTTCAGGCAGCTCAAGTACAAATGTGACAATGTATTACTGAAGTGTTTGAGATGTGACTGTGCTTGTGTAAGAGCTGATGAAATCAAACTGACTTACCATTACATTGCATGCAATACCTAAATTGTGTGAAATGCTTCTGCTGTGTATATGTACAAATCAATAAAGAGCATATTAAAAAGGCAAAAATGTATACAAGCATAGTTTTTCTAAAGAAATACATTTGTCATCTTTCATTCATTCATTTTTGTCTCTGCTCATTCCATGCATTCTTCATTTTCTGCCATGAGCCTACCAGCATTCCACCTTGTTTGTCTTGTGGGAGGGAGAAAGATCTAAAAGCCCAGGTTGGAGATGACCTACATGAATCACAAGATCCTTCTCTTTATTAGTGTCACCACTTTCAGTCTAACCTGATGGCACAGCCTTCATGCCCTTGATAATATGAAACCATCCATAACTGTCAGTCTGTTATTAGATACATTTGAGGATGAGAGCAAAGAAATTCAGGACAGGGATGTATAAAATCATTTCATCCTGTATTGGCTTTCATTATTCTGAAGCCAGACTTGATCTGTCCAACATCACCTCAGTCATTAAAACTGTTATAATTACAAGTTCCTAATATAATTTGAGAGAAAGATTAAGACTGAATGAAAGATAACTAATTAAATATCATTGAAATGCACAAAGGCCACTGTTAGAAAGATTTTTTTTTTCAGATCCAGAAAGCATGAAATGAAAAAACCCTGAGGATTAAGTGGGGACCACTGGGCTCATGAAGGGAAACAATGGTGATTTGTAAACATAGCACCTAAATTTCTGCCTCCTGAGACCTGGGGATCTGTTTAGAAAAGATACACAGAGATGTACCTTTCCCTGTATGGTCCAGAGAACAGAAATAACAGACTGATTTTTGAAAAACAAAACTAATTTCACACTCCATAAATATAAGTCTTCAAGAGAGCAACTTGTGTAGCAGTAGCTGCCCATCTCCTTAGATCACCTACTGTTAAAATTTCTACTGTAAAATTATTCTATGTGGGCATTTGTGTACAACTGGATGCTACGATGCTGAGGGAAGAGGAGGCATTGGGGGAAAAGACATGATAAAATATTTATCAGCATGATGCTGCACTTCGTTCATTACTCACTAGAACAGATGTTTCATACCCATCCTGTCCTACCATACAGTCTAACGTTTATCAATAGTGACAACAACTTACTTTCTGGGTCGGTTAAAAATCAAGACTTCTTAAGTCCCAAACTTAGCCACTGATATTCTGAGTGTGAAGAAACAAGATGTCACGTGTCATTGGAAACTGTAGCTATGTGAGATCTCCTCCCAGTTAGCACTTAAAGAGATCCAAGCACCGGAAATGCTCTCAGAACATCTGCACAATGTTTTATCTAGGACTAGTTTCCTAATTAGCAACAGGGAAAACATTGGGTCCCTTCCTCAGTTATGTCATGGCACACTGCTCATCACATGACTTAACACTTTGGGGTTTAAAATGAGGTCATTGATAAAAAGTAGAGATTGAAGATCACATTTGAAAAGCCATTGGGTACATGCAGCGAAACCCCATTTGTTATTTTGAATGAAAAAGCCAGGCGTCTTACTCCTACATCCGGTTTAGGTAAAATTAGTGTCATAGATTGACAACAGGCATGGGGTATGGGAAAGTAGCTGGAAACCTGAAAAGAAAAAAAAAGATGATAGTATGTATTGGGATGGCAAAGGAAGGGAGGAAGAATTTCTAAATCAAGAACTTTAAATACTTTTTTTTTTGTTTGCAACATGGAATTAATTTATTTTCAATATTTCCAAATAATCCCCTCCAATGTTGAAGAAAAGCACCTTTGAAACAATAGCCAAGTTAGAGCTGAAAATGTTTCTACTGCTGTATCTTCCTTCACTTAAGTTAGCAATGTGTTTGAAGATTTCAGGTTTTAAGTATTGGCTAGCTGGCCCCTTTTGGTCCTAATCAATGCCTGTTTTCTACTTAAAGAAATTCAATACATTCTATCTAACTTTCCCAGAAGCTCTTCCACTGAGACTCAAGCTGGGCCATCCCTCTTTCCCTATTGACCAGCAATGCCACCTAATGTCACTGCAGTCTCTGTTGCTGAAGTAATCTTTTATCTTTTAATTAGAAAAATTTGACTCCAAATCTCAGACTATGTTAGTGAAGTGTTCAATAGAAATTCAATAAAGCCAGTTAAATGTCTTTCATTAAAAAAAAAAAAAGGAACAAATAGACCAAGAATTATATCTCAGTCCAGTCCTGCCAGACAGGCTGACTAAAGCTAATACACAGATCTCTCACACATGTACCATACTCCTAGGCACACACTCTACTACACAATCCAAAAATATCTATGCAACCAAGGGTGTGGGTTGTAGGGTTGTAGGCCCAAGTCAGCTCCAACACTGGGCATGGCCACTTAGAGAAGCTACCCTAAAGATACCACTCAGAGAATGGGAAAGCACAGGCTGAGATGTGAGAAAGCCAGAGCTGGCTCGGGGATCCCAGGCCTGTGACAAGGTTGGACCATAGGGTTCTCAGACTCTTGGACATCCAGGCAATGCTGGAAGTTACAGAAGAGCAGAGAATGGAGTCAGGGCCCCACAGGTTGTGTCTAACCTGGGGCCAGGGGTGAGTGGAGAGAAGGGGACCTCTGACTTGTCTCATGGGGCAATTGTCCTTAGCTTGGCAGATGTAGGAGTGAAGAAAGGACTTCTATAGGAGATTAGGCTATGGCTCTGTAGACAAAGGCCTTCTCCATGGCTCTCCACAGTGGACCTTGATGAAAAGAGACAGTCCATGGTTCTTAACAGTTTATTGTCATGGAAGAAAATGGATGTGTAAAACCATACCCTACTTCTCAGAGTGAGCCTTAGATTAAAACCTTTTGCAGGGAGGAATGTCTGCGAAGGGAAGCTTATTGGCTAAGCTCTCCCGGCCCCTAGATGCCTCGTTAGTATGGATAACTCTGCTTTGGGCTACATGACCATGGGACACATTTTTCTATGTGAGAAGCATGGCATATGTTCCAAGAAAGGAATCTGTCAGGGAGCTGGGAGTCCCTAAGCCTCAGGTGTGTGCCCACTGACTCTCTGGGTCTTGACCTGCTCTATTTTACCAAACTTCCTGGCATGGTTTTATGCCCCACAGTAGTTAGCCTGTGTGCAGCTAGTATTTTGCTGGATGTGACTTATCCCCTGGGCCAATACACTGTGACATCCGTATTCTGTAATGAGCATATGGATATTGAGGGTCTTTCAGAGATAATGTATGAAGACACATAGAAGATAAACATTATTCAAGGAAACACAGACCTCTGTATAAAACAGGCCAATAGCCACTAGCTCTTCTACTTTCATAAGAATGGATCCACTCTTTATATTCATTTTAACGATGAGAATACTGTATAACTCAAAGTTGAAGATAGTGTCCACATGTCACACTTAGTGGCTATTTTGGTTACTTTCCTTAATACCGCAACCAAATGCCTGATAAGAG